GTGTGTGTGTGTGTGTTTGTGTGTGTGTGTGTGGCGGCACTGAATCTATCAGACGCTTCCTCAGCAGGACGGCGTGACCTCTGACCCAGTGACAATAAACACACCAGATGCTGTGTGAGAGTGCGTGTGTGTGTGTGTGTGTGTGGGCATGTGCTGACCTCACATGATCATTGAGCAGCACACAACCTTGCCAAATACAAACGCTGGCAATTACCAAGAGTTTTTCATGTTTCTGAAATAAGTCCCTTCTGCTCATCAAGGCTGCATTTATCTGATCAAAAATACAGTAAAATTTTGAAAAATTATTACAATTTAAAACAGCTGTTATTTATTTGATATTTTTGTAGAAACCGTGATTCATTTTCAAAAGAAATAAATGAATACTTTTATTTATCAAGGATGCATTAAATTGATCAAAAGTGACAGTAAAGACATTTATAATGTCATAAAAGATTTATATTTCAAATAAATGCTGTTCTTTTCAACTTTCTACTAATCTGTGAATCCTGAAAAATTAAATGTATCAGTTTCCTAAAAAATATTGTGCAGCAGATCAGCATATTATACTGATTTCTGAAGATCATGTGACACTGAAGACTGGAGGAATGATGCTGAAAATACAGCTGCACATCACAGAAATACATTACAGTTTAACACATATTCTCATAGAACACAGCTGTTAGAAATTATAATAACTGTTTTTACTATATTTTTCATCAAATAAAATAAATGCACTCTTAGTGAGCAGAAGAGACTTCTTTCAGAAACATTAAAAGTCTTAATTATTTCAATATTTGACAGAAGCCGAGTGTAACTCAGCCTCTCGTTGCCGGAGCAGATCAGAACACGTGATGTGTGTGAGGTTTTGTGATGAACGAGTCGTTTCTTCACATACGTTCTGCTGTCTGCCGGCGCTCTTGGCTCTGGTGGATCCTCTGGCGCTGACGCTGGTCTCTGAAGGACTCTGATGGTACAGCGTCGGCAGGTTTCTCTGGTCAGGTGGATACGAGCAGCTCTTCTGCTGCAGCTGGGACAGATTTCAGCCGTTAGTCACTGAATCAATCACAGACATCAGTGTTCATGATGAAGAATCTATCACAAATTCCATCTTCCAAGTACTCTTTGTATTCATGTTGGTTTCATCTGGTTTTGAAAACCTTTTGTTGCTTTTTGTGGCAAATTACAACTACATTATCGTCCCGCTCTTTATACAAAGCTGTATATGTAAGAATATCCACCTTCATGCACATACTGTACATACCAGGCCTGATTGCTCATATCTTTGCAAAATGTAAACTATATTATCGTCCAGCTCTAATCTGATAAATGTGACTGTAAGGCATAAAAACATTAACAGCAGGAATTTATGTAAAGATGCTTTGAAAAGTGAAACGTGCTATAGAAATACATTTAACTGAAATTTGACTGACCTTTATTACATTTTCAACAAAAAGTTAAATTTAATGACTCTAGAAATGTCATGTTGCGCAACCAAGCAAAAACTAATATTTTCCTTAAATCATAAATACACATGAAAGTGCATCTATGTATTTTAACATTTTTAATTAAATTTTTTTAAGATAATTTTTTTTACAAATATTATAAAAATTAGTTAAAATAAAATACATGAATAAAATAAAATCATAATATTGATTTATAAATATAATTGTTGTACTTTCCTTAAGCCTTGAATACTTGTGTGAAAGCACACATCTTCAAAATAATTTTAAGTAAATAATACTTTTTGCAGTGTCATAAAAATATGTGTAAATTATACATTGCAATTTAAATAATAATTCAACAATAATATAAATTGAATAACTGCAATAATAATCAGAGAGTTGCACCACATGACATTTTACAACCTGCACTTAATTCTAATCATACAGGTATAATCTCTATTGTAGCATCTGTTTATCTTAGTCATTTAGCAAAACAATTTCGTTTTTAAAATAATAAGCTGTTTTTAATAATGTTTCAGCAATTTTTTAAATGAATGAATTTTCAGAAAGAACTGAAAAACACGCTCGTCATAGTAGAGGTGTGCTGGAGGCGCTGTGTGTATGAGCGGTGTTTTCCATGTATTTCTGAATAAATGTGACCCTGGAGCACAAAACCAGTCATAAGGGTCGATTTGTTTTAAATTGAGATCATCTGAAAGCTGAATAAATAAGGTTTCCATTGGTGTATGGTTTGTTAAAAAATCTAAATATTGAGAAAATCATCTTTAAAGTTGTTCAAATGAAGTTCTTAGCAATGCATATTACTAATCAAACATTAAGTTTTGATATATTTACGGAAGGAGATTTACCAGTGTCATAAAAATATGTGTAAATTATACATTGCAATTTAAATAATAATACAACAATAATATAAATTTAATAACTGCAATAATAATCAGAGAGTTGCACCACATGACATTTTACAACCTGCACTTAATTCTAATCATACAGGTATAATCTCTATTGTAGCATTTTCTGTTTATCTTAGTCATTTAGCAAAACAATTTCGTTTTTAAAATAATAAGCTGTTTTTAATAATGTTTCAGCAATTTTTTAAATGAATGAATTTTCAGAAAGAACTGAAAAACACGCTCGTCATAGTAGAGGTGTGCTGGA